TCCTGTCATCGAATAGAAACGTTGAGCACCGTAGGTCATTTTTGTCAGCCTTGAGTAAGCTAAGAATATAAATAAATGTTTTAAATAAATGCTAATAATGGAGCTAACAATAATGTACCGTAACAGACTCAGGCACAAAGAGAAGCTAACGCTAGCAGCTAGGTATAAGACAGAGTCAATTCTTCATGAGCAAGGTCTAATCAAGAAAAGGACAGTCTCTCGATGGCAGGACTTTTCCACTATACACCTGCTCTGTTGAGGGGGTGGGTGTGGGTTTGGGGTGGGTGGGATCAATACACTCTGCTTTCTAACCGCGTATTACAGTAGACGTCTCCTAGCATCATCATCCCAATCGGCAGCGGTCTCTCTCTCTAGCGATGGGGCGATCTCCTTAAGCAACCGGAGCGCCGTCCATCACAGGTGTGGGCGTGTGTGTGTGGGTGTGTGTGCACGTCCACAAGGCCCCCCCGCCCACACCCTTCTCAGCGCTGCCCTGTGCCACTTCCCACAGTTCCACAGTTCCACAGTTCCACTCGCCCCCCTTCTCTGTCCTGTCTGTCTCCCCTCCTCGGATTCGGTAAGGTTGGACCAAGTGCTGTAAGTAGGTTGTTTCTCTTTGTCACTCGGAGTAAATCCACGACAGACCAGATACTAAATGGAAAAAGTAGAATTTCAGCAGGTTGGAATGGTATTGTGAGCTTTCTGCTTTGTTGTCTGCGGTGTGGCTGCAATCACACCAACTTACAGTTTAAGTTGTTTGGGACCACAGCCCCTTGTTTTTTTTTGTTTTTGTTTTTTTTACTGAATCAAAGTTGTACGTTGTGATGGTAACTGACTTCAGTGCCTCATTCTCCAACAGTCCAAAGATAGAGACAGACCTGCAGATCATTGACTTTGTTGCTCACACGCTCATCTACCGTAGCCATACTGTGCAGTGTTGTGGTTGTTTGTAGCTTCCATTTTGTTTCAACAATTTTTTGCATAATACTCTATACACACGAAGTGCTGAAAACCCAGTATGCAGGTTTTTTTAAAAGTGCATAAGCAGGCTGTAAAAAATATAAACTGAAATGTATTTGATTATTGCATTATATTCAATTTTATAGTTAGGGACATTTTAGTAATGTTTACAGAATATATATATATATATACGTATCATTTTAACAAGTAAGACAAGCTAAACTTCAAATGAATGTTCCAATGAAATCAAATTTTTTTTAAACAATAATAAAATGATATTTTGTGTTTGTGCCTAAATCCTGTCCCTGGTTGTAAACTTTAACATCCTGCTGACACCAGGTGGCGTGTCTAATTTCTCCCTGTGCTTCCAGGCGTTACTTACCTGTCCTCCGAGGTTTTCCTGCTAAGTATATCTACGACCCATGGAACGCCCCCGAGTCGGTGCAGGCTGCGGCCAAGTGTGTAATCGGCGTCCATTATCCCAAGCCCATGGTTCATCACGCTGAGGCGAGCCGGCTCAACATTGAGAGGATGAAGCAGATCTACCAGCAACTCAGCCGATACAGAGGACTGGGTGAGGAACGGATAAACGCAACAGCTTAAAGAGAGAAACGCTGAATGAGTGAAGGAGGGAAAAAAAGTATTTAATGTTTTTTGTGTATGTGTTTGCCAGGCCTGCTGGCGTCAGTGCCGTCCACGAATGGCAATGGAAATGGAGGAATGATGGCTTACTCTCCTGGAGAGCAGCAGCCAGGGACCAACGGCAACAGTAACACCGTGCATTGTAGGTCAAGTTTGTGGGGAAAAAAACAAAAATCAGTCAAATACATTGGTGCCAATAAAAATGTGCTGACACCTGGTGTTGATTCCAGTACCTGCAGTGTCAGGGAGCTCCGTTGCAACCAGTAACGGCAGCGGGAGCATTCTGCTCAATTTTGACAGTGAAGAACAGACGCGACCTAATAGTGTTGGACAACGACAGCAACCACTACAGCAGTGTGTTTGCCAGGCCTGCTGGCGTCAGTGCCGTCCACGAATGGCAATGGAAATGGAGGAATGATGGCTTACTCTCCTGGAGAGCAGCAGCCAGGGACCAACGGCAACAGTAACACCGTGCATTGTAGGTCAAGTTTGTGGGGAAAAAAACAAAAATCAGTCAAATACATTGGTGCCAATAAAAATGTGCTGACACCTGGTGTTGATTCCAGTACCTGCAGTGTCAGGGAGCTCCGTTGCAACCAGTAACGGCAGCGGGAGCATTCTGCTCAATTTTGACAGTGAAGAACAGACGCGACCTAATAGTGTTGGACAACGACAGCAACCATTACCTACAGTCTACAATTACTGTTTTTAATTACACATTTTAAAAAAATGAATAGCTAAGTCCGGGCAACATAAAACTTTCTTTACGGAGGAATTCACTTTAAAAGTGTCTAGTGTTTAATTTAGGATTTATGAACAGAAATAGCTTTATTATTTTTATGAATACAGAGTTTCATTAAAACATCTTAACTTTTCCACTGTCTTGTCTCGGTGCAGTTTACCACTCAGTGCCAGACACCAGCCAGATCATCACCAGCAGTCGACTCTACCATGAGTTTGCTGTGCCTCAACACCCAGGTCAGGAACTGGTTTGTTCATCAGAAATATCAGAAACTGATTCTCCCCCAGCCCCCAAATCCCATCTGGTTAAATTAGATTTTTTTTTTGTTTGAACAAACAAACAAAAACAAAAACTAAATTCAAGCAGTTTATTAATGTTTCCCTTATGTGCTTCTCCAGGAATCTTCTTGCACACCAGGGGAGGCAGCATCACAGGGAAACGGGAGCGAGAGAGTGAACGTGAAGGTTCAGGAGAGGAAGAGACGGCGTCCTGCTCTCTGCATAAAATGCAGAGGCAGAGTGCACAGGTGAGGAGGGGTTTATATATTTTTATTGTGTTTGACTTCACAGACTTCACTGCCAGTACAACCTCAATATTAATGCAGTTGTAGTAAAAAACTAATAATAACAACATTGATGGAATTTATTAATTTAACTATACAAAAAAAAATATAAAAAAAAAAAGATAATGCTGTTATCTTTGTGAGTGTCTTTCTTCAATTCCTGCCAATACATCAGGTATTAGTCAATCATGAGGTCATTTAAACTAGAAGGTTCTTATGTTTCATCATCGTTTTGTGAGGTTATTGTTTGGTGATGTGAGTTGGGTTTTTCCTTATGATGTTTATCTGCCGTGGCTCAAAATAGGTTGGGAAACACTGCTCCAAAACTCTGTTGACTCACTGTTAACTCAGTGATGGACTGAACCCGAAGCACATTCAACTGAAGAACTGACGCTGACCTTCCAAAATTCTCATTTTGAAACATGTTCTTTTGCCAACACTTCCTGTAGAGGTGTTTTATTTTTCCGACCAATGACTCTGTTACTGTTTATACAGCATATTAAGACAACAGCAGTAGGAATTATCCATATAGTTTTGGACTCAGCCTTGATGTTGCCATGCTAACAATAAAAACACAAAGGAGGTTTTCCGAGGCTCAGTGTATTCAAATCAGCCAAAGAAGTGTACACAGCGTAGGAGGAGCTGGATGACGGCTTCATTGTTTGGAACTGCAAAGGAAGCAGAAAAATAATGACGTAGTAACAGGTTTTTCTCTGTTACTAATGCTGGCATTTTGTGTAACTTTCGCAGACCACCCCGAGTCAGTGACAGCTACACTGACGTTATTGTCCAGGCAGCAGAGAAAGGAAAATCCAACATCAATCTGTCATCAACAAACAGGTCCAGACACGACATCGGCACGTCTGAAACTGCTGTTGACCTGACAACGAAAGAACCACGTAGACCTGAAGTCTTTTTATCTGAACATGAGTATTTCAGAGAAAAAAAGCGACACTGAATATAAGCCACGCCCACAGTTGGTTAACATGCCGTAATGACAGGCACTGGACCAGTTATTCCAACCTTCATCCATCGTCGCTCTAATCCACGGTCCATGCACACCTGGTCCCCCCCCCTTCCTCCCCCCATATTTTCACTCTCACAGTTTGCTAATTATAGCATTTGTTTTCATAAACTGAGGCTTTATTTCCGTGAAGTACGGAGTAACATGATGTTGTTTTTCTGGAACCTGCGGCCTCCAGCCGACAACGTGACCCAGGTTTAACCCCAGAACAGTACAGTAGGCCGGGGTGTTCTCCGTGTTTTCTCCATGCTCCATGTTACACAGGCGACCTCAGCTTAGAAACCGACTTAATACTTTGATACACACGTGTGTGTGTGTGGACGTGTCTCAGGCGGTCAACGAAAAAGCGCTTGTAAATAGGCTAACAAAACAACAGAGTCCAGGATGCCAATGGTGTATTCATCATTATTATTATTATTATTATTATTGTTATTATTGATACAGTGACATCAGTCCAGTTTGTACACACGTTACTAGCTTTGAAGGTCATTTCAGGAGGCAAGCACAACGTCCTGGAGGTCCAGTAGAGCAGGTCCTTCACCACGACACAGATTTACCCTTGTTTTAATGGGAACACTGTACCACTCTTTGATTTGTACCGGCAGCTACAAGGTGTGATTACTTTTTTCTTTCAGTATTCAGTGGACGTAGTACGTATTAGTACTTCAGCTTTGTGCATTTACACATGTAGCTCTCTGTGTTGTTTATACTTAGTGGTGATGTGGCTTTCTTTTGTGCTTTTCTTTTTCTTTTTTTTTTTCTTTTTGTTTTTTTAGAAGTTAGCTGAACACACACACTCACACTGGGTCAAGTCATTTTCACACCACTGTTGTAAATAAACAGATTCTATCATGATGGGCAGACAAACATGAGCGGGCTCTGTTCTGTGCAGTGACCCAGAAATACAGTTATCACTGCTTTACTTTTTTTAACGTCTGACTCAGTAAGAACTGGGTCACAGTGTCTGTCTCCTGAAGACAGATTTACAGGCACTTCATGAAGAGAACGTCCCCACACACTGCTGCCCACTGTTCACGTTGGTGATGGGTTAAAGCAGAGGTCACATTTGGTTGTGTGTAGTGATCAGCTGTGTCACAATCACAAGGAGTTCGCTTTCCTTTCCTTCAAAGCATCACAGATTAAAATAATGTGTAAAAATGACGCAGTTTGGCGGTTTTGGACGACTCAGCCTCTCCAGACTAAAACCCTGGGTTTTTCATTTGATGGGAACTTGGATGTGTATGTGTGTTTTACATTCTGCTGTGAAACAACCAGATCAAGTGTAATGTCACATGATTACATGATATCTCAGAGACAGACTCAACAGAAATGAATGGAGAAAATAAGAGAACTTTGGTGAAAAATAAACCAAGAGAAACCAATTCTGTAAATCCATCTAATGGAGGATTTCCTCAGTAGGAATAGAAACTGGCTATGAATTATTATTTACAATCCAGCGGCTGTTGACCATCACCAGCCTTTAGTTATATTTAAATATTACCTGTAGTCTACAATTGCTAAAAATCAAAAATCATTAAAATGAAGGAACGACTTAAATGATGTACAATTTAAATTAAAAAAAAATAGTGTAAGTATTTCAGTATTTGAAATGTATGCTTAATGCATACACTCGGAGTAATAAAACCCAAATAACCCTAACCTTTTATACACATATATGTGTATAAATATATATATATATATTTATATCTATATATATTTATAAATATATGTAAAGGTGTTTGTACATATGTGTAAATATATATAGATATATTGGTATATATACTGTATGCATACAGAGACATTAACGCAGCCTTAACGTATGCAGGTTTTCATTTTTTTCACAAATCTGCTGACTTATATAATAACAAACTTAATATATTTGGAAACGTAACTGTAAAAGGAGAAGTGAGAGAGAGTGGTTTCCAACTTGGTTTTGTCGACTCTCTGCTTATTCTTTTGGTTTCCCACATTCCCCCAACCTGAGAACGGGAGCGTCAGGAGGCGGGACCCGACCAGCAGCACCAGAACCTGTGTACCTCTGTAGTGCTTCTGTGTTATAGTTCTCTGTGTCCTCAGGAAGATTCAACACTGCTTGTACTTTTTGTAAGTTTTTATTGCTTTTGTTTTTCTTTCTATTCGTTCTCCGTGACATGAAGGTGAAAACACACGCTCGCTGTGACATCGTGCTATCTCCGTCTCTCCTCGTGTTGTGAAAGGCTTTCTATCGTGACAGAACATTAAAATTGTTACAACTTCATCGTCATCTTTGCTTTTTGTCTTCTTCACTTAAGCTGACATATCACCACGGCCGGGGTCAAAGTCAAATTCACAGTGGGCCAAACTGGGACGAAGCCATAGACCAAACTCAACATGTATTGAAAATACAATTGTGGATGTTGTCCCTTCTCTCCAGATATGTAATGTTGATATTTTTTCATAGAGAAACAAACTTTAGTTTTGCGTAAACATTGACTCTGGAACAACCAAAGCTTTATATATGAAACACATGAGAAATTCACTTTGAAGTAAAACACACTGGTATTTGTTTGTGGTACTTGTTTCTTATTATATCTCTCTCTATCTCTAACCCTTCAAGTAAATCTTTTTTCAGGCCAACACCAAAACATCCATCCATCCATCATCATGCTCTTATCCAGGTCACGGCCGGGTCGCCGGGGGCAACAGTCTGAGCTGGGACTCCCAGACTCCCCTCTCCCCAGACACTTCCTCCAGCGTGTGCTGGGTCTCCTCCTTACTTACTCCCGTGCTCACAGGATCAACAGGCTTGCATTGCAGCAAAAAAAGTAAAGAAATAAAAAGACCAAACATCTTTTTATTTCATAATTTCACAAGTAGCTACACATTTTTTTCTAAACGTTGTATTAATTGTCTATGGTATGTTTCAGAGTTATTCAATTGAAAATGTAAATGTGGTAGCGCTCGCGTACCACCGTTTGAGAACCACTGATGTAGTGCATGCACTGCTGATACTACAAATCGCACCAGCTCTATTACACATTTGATGTGATCTTGGGGGCCAAATATCATTACATCACGGGCCAAATTTGAGTTTGACACCTGTGTGTGCACCACAATGACAGGAAACATAAGACTTGCCCTGTTAAAAACTCATTAAAAAAAAGCAGAATAGAATACCATTCAAAGTTGAAGGGTGAATTGTGGAGACCCAGTGTATCTACCCCAGCTTCACTGAGCTGCAGCAGTCTGACGTCACAGAACAGTGGCAGTGATCTAGGAGTCTGAAAATATCTAGTTAGGAGTGCCCGACCAAAACCGGCATTCATTTTTGTGATCTTATCTTGAAAGGAAACAATAACAGCTATTTAAAGATTGTATTGGTATTATTAGACATGTTCCTCGGCGTGCTCTGTCAACAAAACCCAATAGACCATCGGTATGTAAATACTAGCACAGCAGTGTGAAATATATTTCCATGTCTGCCATCATCGTTTTCATGCTGCGTACACACACAATCGCACATACACACACCCACACACCCACACACAACCTGTCACGAAACACAAAAATAAAACACACAAGGGGAGCTTCCCAGGAACATCCACGATAATGTTTGGAGGATTTGTTTTAATAGATAATAATAGATTTTTACTGCTGATTAAATATCGCTGCTTTGTTTGTTTGGTTTTTGTTTGGTTTTTTTCTCTTTGCAATTGATTGGGACATGGGAGATATTATGTCACACTTCTAACCTGTTTTCTTTGTCTCTTCTGCCTGGTAAGCAGTACTTTGGACCTGGATCAAAATCGAACAAAAAAAATTAAATAAGATGAAACATCATGTTATAACATCAAAATATTTACGTATTGAATATGGGTATAATATTCACTTCATACAATGTTGACTGTAAAACACTGTAAATCCTCAATTCGACTCTAATTCGACTCTAATCCCTGGTTGATTCTAATATAATGTTTAAAATAAATCCTTGGCAGCAAATTGGGGTTTGGAGAACAAATCCTAATTTGAAATGTTACATAAATGAATGTAATATTTTCTTAATTGATTTGTCTGATTTGTCTATAATTGACGGGAGGCAAGGCGGACGCTTCAATTCAATTCAGTTCAAATTAAAGAATTGTATTTGTCTGCAGGGGTCATTTAAAAAAATGCATGACCTTAAAATGTTCAAACATATATGCATATACAAATAGGTGGTGGAAAAGTTGTGTGTACAATGTACAAAAAAGATTATTTTGACAGCACTAGTGCAATTTGCAGTGATAATAAAATAAAGTCTATTTATCATCCTCCCTGGAATCATTGTGTGTGTGTTTAAAAGAGTAGACAACTAAAATAAACAAAAACTGTGACACATCCTGGTAGGACACCCTGGCTGTAACCATGGTAACACTGATAGTGTTCCCTTATACATCCAGGGGAATCCTCCTCGATTAAAAAATCGAAACTCCCTCATCCAGGTGATATCCCTCCTACACTTCTGGTCTTTGTCCGACAGAACCACCTGTTACTTTTCCCTCTCATGCAAATTGTTTTCCTCTGCTGTAGTTGCGACAGCATATAAAGGGAGAGCTCAGCTGTGTCAGCACAGAAGACAACTCCACTTGGACTGAACAACTATTGTACACCAGTGAGGCCAAGGCTCAACTCCAGCTTTACTCTAGCTTCAAGATCATTGTTTTGTTTTTTCTCCTTCCATCAACATGAACCCTAAGGCTCTTCTGGTGAGTTCTGTCGGCTCTGCAGGCCAAAGTAAAAATTGCATTTGAATTTTTGCTTTTAAAAAAGATGTTTTGTTCAATCAAACTCTTTGAGAGATATTGTGCTAATTGATGGCAGATGCCGCACATCAGCCTGACGTAAACCTTTCGTTTGTGGTCAACTATTGTTTGAAAGCTAATTGCTGTGAGTGTGTTTTTGTGTTTCAAGCTTGTGCTTGCACTGATGGGGACGATGTGCATGGCTACCCTCGGTCAGGAGGATTGTAGGGCAGCCAACCACACCCACGTGTCCTACAGACACGTGTCCGTGTCGCTCCAAAACAATCCATTAGCTCCCTGGGAAATGCGGTAATTTTCTTTTTTCTTCCTTGCCAAAAGTGATACAGTAGAAGTGATGGTTAAAGGAGCTGCACTGTGGGAGAGCGTATGATGGTGTTCCATCTTCTGAGATAATACTGCAACATATTACATGGGAAGGTCAGGAGAGGCAAATAAAAACATGTGAGCGGTGCAGAATACAAGCAAAAGTGCAGGATTGTTGACAGAGAGAGAAAGAACAGCACCATGGCATATAATAATATAATACAGTATTAGCATCAGGGCCACAACTGATTTATAGTCCAGTTTCACAGATGCCTGGTTTTATTTCCTACAGTGCTAAATTTGTTGTTTTATTTCTCTTGGTGTTTACATGCACAACTTTAAGTGATTTTTCTTTTTTTTTCTTATTTTTCAGTACCAAAGAACTGCCTGGCATGTTGCCCCCACGTATTACTTATGCTGAATGTAAAGGTTGCTTTAAAAGTGACTTGATTTCCAAGACCATCTTTTTAGAAGTTGTTATTTTCAAGAAAACTGGTACTTCCTGGCAGAGATGCACCTACGAGCTGGCGGTGGGGTGTACATGTGTAGAACGTCCACAAACTTTGAATCATTAATTTCGATGATGTTCATTTCATTGTTTCTGAGAAACAATAACTCTTGAGTTGGTGTAGTTGTTACTTTGTGACACAATTATGGTTTGGAAAAAGACTTAGTTGCATCTTTATGTATGTCAGTAACATTAACAAACCAAGATACATGTTTTTATAGGTCAGTAAAAAATATTTTGAGAGTGAAATACTGTGTATAAAAAGGGACTTGGACACTTTGTGTGTCCATATATATCATTTAATGGCATTTGTATGACATTTGCGTTTTACACCAATACTTTTTTGTATTGTCAGCAAACTGTTTCATTAAGTAACCCTGCATGTTGTGGATGATTTTTATAAAATATATATTTAATATGAGTTAAATTTTATGACATATTCTTGACTTTATTATTCAATGGTGTCATTATGTACTATGTACATAGTGAACATTGTTTGAAAACAAACCATTTCTCCAAAGAAGTGATTATATTATATAGAATAAGAGATGCTTCAATGTTGGTTACTCATTAATGTTATATTTAATTGTATTCAACTATTATTCACTGTTTTGTTTCACAAGCTGTGTTTACCCACTGCATTCTACTGTTTTGTTCAATGAACATCTGACGATGGTTAAAATAAAATATTTTTACAAATTCCAATAATGTTTTCTGTGGTTTTTACACGTACAGAAGTATGCATGAGTAGATAGATACTAGTCCAGCAGGTGGCGACACAATCCCCCCGGAACTGCTATGTTTCTACTTCCT